AACTTTTTCCTTACAAGTTTTACCTATAGAGCACCTAAAAGTTTTTCCAGATGTAACAGTACAGAGAGAGAGCTGACATGCTGTATCGGTTTGAGCACTGGACTATGACCCTAGAAACCAGGATTCAAATCCTTGCTCAGCCATGGAAAGCCACTGGGTGACTTTGGGCAAGTCATACTCTCTCAGCCTCAGAGGAAGGCAAAGGCAAACCATCTATGAACAAATCTTGCCAAGAAAACCCTTAGGATCACCCTAAGTTGGAAAAGACTTGAAGGCACACAACAACAAACAATAAAGGGAGTTTAATTTTTTGTGGGATTTTTGGACTATGTGGTCGTGTTCTGGAAAATTTCTCTGAAGATGTCAACCACAGATGCTGGCAAAACATCAGGAACAAACTCTTCCAGAACACGCCCATATAGCCTGAAAAACCCACAAAAAACTATGGATGTCAGTCATGAAAGCCTTTGACTTCACAATAAAGGGGCAGTTAGCTTGACACAGCATGGATCTCAGGGGAAGTTACTTTCCCATTGCTGATGGAATTGAAATGATGTCTTCATTGCTGGAGCTTCAAAAGCTTGCATGATGTATTTTCTGCATTTCAGTTGGTCAATAAAGGTATCCCTTTTGTGTGGATTTTATTGTATTGTCAACATGGCTACCCTGAATATGCCCAGCTTTTTCCTGGGTTTGCTATCTAGAGACAGAAAGGTAAAGCATTCGCTCTATTGCTTTAGTGGCTAAAGGCCGTGGGGGCATCCATATCTCCTCAAGGCTGTTTTTATGGTCCTTAACCCTTCCAGACATTCTGGGACACTCTTTGTTTGGTCATGAAAATTTGGTGAACTGCCTCTCCTGGAAGCCATAAAAACACAGGTTTTCAAAAACCAGGAGACTTCCAGTCACTTCTGGATACAGTGGTTTTGTGTGTGTTGGCATTTTGGGGCCTCTGTGTGGCCCTTGCCAGGCCTTGGGGCAGAAATTGAACCTCTCAGATCCACTGAGGTTGCTAATTCCTGTTGTACAAGGATTTAAAGGACCACAGGTGATCTAAGAGGAAAGAGATGGTTAAATTACCTTGTTCATTGTACTCTTCCTCTTCTTCCTCTTCATACACATCCTCTTCCTGAAATGGCTGGATAGGTTCGCTCTGCGTATCACCTTCCACCAAAGCTACAATCTCATCGGTATCTTTTAAAACCAGGTATTGGACAGGCCTGCCCTACAGAGATGCCAAAGAAAGAAAACAAATTAAACCAAACTAAACCAATCTGCAGACTGTGTGCCAGTGCAAGGATGGGAGAATCGGAAGGCAGGCTGACCTTTTCCCACCCAAAACTTCCAACTCCTTGCCATACTAATTTAATTTTCAAATTTCTACAGTTCCTCCTGAATTATTCCTTTTATGGATGTGCAAACTGATTGCACAAGTGCACATTAGCAAAACAATACCATCAGTACGATGCATCGATGCAAATTGATTGCACAAGCACACATGAAGAATCGGCAAAGGGGTCAGGCAAGGCTGTGGTCTATCACCCTATTTGTCCAACGTGTGTGAAGAAATCATAAGAAAAGCAGGATTAGACTCAGAAGGAAGAGTGAAGATAGGAGGAAGGACCATCAACAATCTAAGATATGCTGATGACACCATATTACTTGTGGAAAACATCACAGTCTTGGAACAATTACTAAGGAAGGTCAAAGAAGAAGGTTCAAAGGCAGGCTTAATGCTAAGCATAAAGAAAACAAAAATAATAACCATGGAAGAAATACATAAATTCAACCTAGACAATGAAGAAATTGAAATAGGTAGTGTTCCCATACTTAGGATCAAACATTGATCAGAATGGTGACTGCAGCCAAGAAATAAGAAGAAAATTAAGAATGGGAAGGGCAGTGATGAAAGAATCAAATAAGATCGTAAAGATTAAAGACGTACAACTGAGCACCCAGATTAGTATTGTCCAAGCCACAGTATTTCCCATCACCATGTATGGATGTGAGAGCTGAACAATTAAAAAAGCAGATAAGAAAAACATCAGTTCATTTGAGATGTGGTGCTGGAGAAGAGTGCTGAGAATACTGTGAATGGCCAAGAAGAAAAATGGGTCACTGAACAGATCAAGCCTGAAATCTCCCTGGAAGCCAAGATGATGAAACTAAGGCTGTTGTACTTTGGCCACATCATGAGAAGGAATGATTCATTGGAAAAGACAATAATGCTAGGGACTTTATCACATGCAGTAAATCCCGTGCAGAAACAGGGTTTTAAATAGAAAAAGAACCACAAAAGCAGGTAGATTTTCAGACGACGTCGCTATTAAAGTGTGGTTAACTCGAATGGAAAGTAGTCAAAAGCCGCTTCTTTTTACTTTTGGACAATCCCGAAAGTAAAAAAGAGTGGCTTTTGATTACTTTCTGTTCGGGTTAACCACACTTTAACAGCAATGTGTGTGAAAATCTACCCACTTTTGCAGGTTTTCCCCACCTTTTAAATCCCGTTTCTGCATGGGATTTCTCCCATGTGATAAGGTCTTAGGAAAGGTAGAAGGTCACAGAAAGAGAAGACGATTGCAAGCCAGATAGATAGACTCAATTTGGGAGATCCCAGGAATGAATTTGCAAGACATAAGCAAAGCAGTGGAGGACAGTGGGTCTTGGAGATGTCTCACCCACAGGGTCCCCACAGATCCAGAAACCCCAATAGTAAGTCATGTTTTCCCCATCTTACTGTATGGATGTGGCCCTGATCCATAACTGTCTTCCCCAGAAGGCTAGGCTGTTTTCCTCTTTGCTCTCTTTTTGGCAACAGATAAAGACTTTTTCATGTAAACTGATATTTGGTAATTAAGTGGCTGGGCCAAAGGGTCTTTCCATGGGGTGCACATGCTGTACTTTTATTATGGCTTAAAAGTGATATTTGAATAGGCAAGCGGAATCCTGAGGTTTGTAGTTTGGGGTAGTACTAGAACTCCCCGGCTGAGAATTCTAAATGCCGCTCCCTAAACTGCAAATCCCAGGATTCCACTGGATGTTGCCATGGCAGTTAAAGTGGGATGTAGTGCTCTAATTGTGGATGTCAAAAGGCCCTTAAAGGGCAATGATTAAAAAAAAAAACTAACCTCTTCAGCTGTCTTGATGGCCACATTATGTTGGGGAAGAACATTCAGACCAACAGAATTCCTGTTAAAATAAAACCCAGAAGTTAAAACTAAGAAATACAGGACAGTGGTCCCTCCACATTCACTGGGGTTGGGGGTGAAGGACCCCCGTGAATGTGGAAAAACTGCAAATACAAAAACACTATTCTTTTTACCTGAGAGAACACCTCTCTAGGAATCTCTAATAATAATAATAATGATAATAATAATAAGTACTGTGAGTCCCAATCTTGGGAGAAGGGCAGAATATAAATAAATATAAAAAATAATAAATTTTAGCTATAGATTAACTTTCTTCAGTACTATACATATAATACTATGATATACATTCAATATTTTATATGTTATCTGACAGTTGTGTGATGTTACATATTTCAATTCTGTGACCATCTCATATTTGTCGTTTCTATAATTTATTCCTGTTAGAAATCATTAAATCCAGAGGTATATATTTTCCCCCATTTTTGTTTTATATAATTTGTTAAACGGTTGCCATTCTTCAATAAGTTTAGATTTAGTTTGTAGTCTTAAGATGCAGCTCAGTTTGTCCATTTCTTGCTCCTTTCCAATGATGTGTGTGGCTCTGCCAATCCTATTTCCATTTTGCAAAAACACACAGAAATCCTCATCCTAGACCAGGATTTTTCAAACAAGGTTTGCTGGAGCCGTGAGGTTCTGTGAAAGATCCCTAGAGGTCCACAAGAGATTGTGCTGGGCATCTGTAGATATAATAATAGTTATGCAAAGCTCCCCATAGACCAAAAAATTATTTGAAAGGTTTCCTCTTGGGTAAAAGGGTTCAGAAAGGCTGTCCTAGATAGTAAGGGATGTATCTAATGTTGTATACACCTTTGAGTCACCTATTGATTTATGGCAACCTTATGAACTTTATAGGGTTTTCCTTGTTGTTGTGTGCCTTCAAATCATGTCCAACTTATGGTGACTCTAACGGTCAATGTATCCCAGGGTTCTCTGGGGAAGATTTGTTCACATTTTTTTAAATATATTTATTGAACAATTATAAGGCAACTTTTTTTACAAACAAACATACACTGACATCAGACATCCAACTCTATGATTCTATGATTCCATTTTACACATCCCTCATTACTTTATCACATTACACCAAACCATCAACACTCATTAAAACATTTATTTACCCTTCTAAAACTTTATCAATTACATACATACATAGTGTTTCTTTCATAATATCTCTTCTCGTTTGACTACCTTACTATACAACTCTACTACAGTATCTATGCCTATATTAAGGCAAGATCTGTTCAGAAGGGGGGGGGTGCCTTTGCTTTCCTCTGAGGCTGAGAGAGTGTGACTTGCCCAAGATCACCCAGTGGGTTTCCATGACCGAGCAGAGATTCGAACCCTGGACTCCAGGGTTGTTAGTACAATGCTCAAACCATTACGCTATTCTGACTCATAAGTTTTTCTTAGGCAAGGAATACTCAGAAGTGGTTTTGCCAGTTCCTTCCTCTGAAATATAGCCTACAGCACCTGGAATTCGTTGAGTTTCGCACTCAGGTGTTAAGCAAAGCTTCCAAGATCCTGCTTGGCTTCCAAGATCAGATGGGAATCTGATGGTGCCTTTACGGTATTTAGGTACAACCTGTTTAACTGGATATAGTAGGATCCAATTCCTACTGTATGTGAAATGGGCTGCAAAGTGGCCACTCTCTGGCTGAAATATCTAAAACCATCTTCCCATGTATAACACCATCCAAAATCCACAAAACAGTGATACCTTTATTGGAGCAATCAAAATGCACATTATATATGCTGCAAGCTTTCGAAGCTCCACTCGCTTCTTCTTCGTCAAGCAAAAGGTGTTAAAAATGATACAGGAGAATATCTATCAATTGTGGGGTTAATTACCCCGTTCCAATCTCCCATGGCAATTATATTTTCATAGTTTAGTTCCTCTATCTGTGATAGTAGTTTTTTGTAAAATTTATTATTTTTGTTAAATGGTGCATATACTCCTACTATTAAGATCTTTCCAAAATATCCCTGTATTTCTACCATTATATATCTACCTTTGGGATCGTTCAATATTTCTTTCGTCTCTATATTTTTGTTAATATATAAAACCACCCCATTTTTTTGTCTTTCATCGATGAAACAAATTCATTTCCTAGTTTATCATTTTTCAAATATTTTTCATCTTTTTCTTTGATACGTATTTCCTGGAGGCAGATAACATCTAATCTTTTTTTCCTAAGATAATGAAAAATTTTCTTTCTCTTCTGAGCCGAGTTTAATCCTTTTACATTCCATGTCAAAAAATTAGTTTGATTGAACATTTTAATTTAATTTAATTTACTTGTTTTACTTAACTTTACTTCTTCTAGTTCTTCTGGTACACTTTCCCTAACCTTCTAGGTTTCCTCTCAATTTATATCTCATTCTAGATCTTCTCCTTCCTCTTCCGGATATTCATCATCTCTTTCCTCTTCCTCTTCCTCCTCTTCGCTTTCCTCTTCGAAAGCGAAGAGATGGATTTGAGACAAACCGGCTCTCAAAGGCAGTGGCCTTTTATCTTGCAAATGGAATTTAAAGTCTATTTCTTGGACTGAATCTCCCAGCACCCACATGGCCAAAAGCAAGAGGGGTCCACCTTGCAAATCAATACCTTTCCATAGCATCTGAACTGAGGACTACAACTACAACATCTTAACCAAATGCAGGGCTAAGACTAATATTATCAATTTTTTCCTTTTCTTTTCTCCTGTATCTTTTTAAACACTTTTGCCTGATGAAGAAGCCAGTAGAGCTTTGAAAGCTTGCAACACGTATAATGTGTATTTTGGTTGGTCCAATAAAACTATCACTATTAATGTGCATTTTGTGGATTTTGGATGATGCTGTACTTCTCTATATGGCCAACACAGTTACCCCTGGATACAGATCTTCCTATGTATACAATTGAAATAAACTGGAATAATCATCTTTCTACTCTGCCTGCTGGGGCAAGCATCATCGGTTGCTATGCATTCTTAACAGCCATGTCTGGAAAAGTTATTTTTGGTAAATTTTTTGGTCAAAAATTCCCATACTGACTGGCAGATTCTGGGAACGGTAGTCCAAAAAAAATAATTTTTTTACCCCCAAGCTCTGCTTACAAACTACTCCAAGAAAAGCAAAACTTCTCTAAGATACAGCAGCACTTATGATAAAGTGGTGACTGCCATGTTATACAATCATCCCTTGAAAACATCCAGGATAGTCATGTTGGCCATATAGCAAATCCAATAGCATAAAAAAAAACATGCCAAACAGTGATACCTTTATTGGACCAACCAAAATGCACAATAGACATGTTGCAAGCTTTCGAAGCTCCACTGGTTTCTTCATCAGGCAAGGTGCTAAAAACCATACAGGAGGGGAAAAAATGAAGATGTTAGTCCTAGGCCTGCATTTTGCTGTTTCTGTCCTCAGTTCAGATGGTATGGAGGGATATTTTTTGCAGGCTCGCACCTCCTTATTCTTGCCATGTGGCTGCCAGGCGATTCTCAAAGCCCAGGAAATCTAACATCCATTTGTAACCCAAAAATACTTCCTTTGCAATCGAATATGTGTCCATCATTTTTGAGGCCACAGGTCCCTTTGTTAGGCAGAGGACACTGAATTTCATGAGAAGCCTTCATGCTTTTGCATCAGGAAAACTTTAGGTGGTGTTGACTGGATATACCAACCCAGTCCCAAGTTAATAAAAAAAAAACCTTTTACCTTTGCTGGAGGGAGAAACCTCAAATAGTAAGGTCCCAGTCTGCTTAGGGTTCTCCTGTTGTGGCTATAATGCAGTATCTTGAAATCCAGAAAGCATTGGCCATAAAGCAAATCCAGTAACATCCCAAATCCACCAAACAGTGATACCTTTATTGGGCCAACCAAAATGCACAATATACGTGTTGCAAGTTTTCAAAGCTCCACTGGCTTCTTCATCAGGCAAGGTGTTAAAAAGCGTCCCTTGGTTAGTCCCAATTGCAGGAACGGACTCCAGAAGATTCATGAACCAAAGCCTGGTGCAAAAGGCTTTTTTTTGCTATAGAGAGGAGCTCAGAGTTCTTTTTTGGGCAAGAGGAAGGAAACCATAATAAGACAGACCTTCCCCCCAACCACCCCAAAAGAAAAATGTATTCCTATTTTCCCCATGCTTTCTTTATTTTGTTGTAAAGCCTCTCAGATGAGAGGCAGGGTGGCACAGTGATCTGAGCATTGGACTATGACTAGAGATCAGGCTTTGATTCCCTGCTTGAGCATAAAAACCCACCAGGTTACCTTGGGCAAGTCACACTCTCTCAGCCTCAGAGGATGGCAAGGGCTGAAGAAAGTTGCCAAGAAAACCAAGTCAGAAATGACTTGAAGGTACACCGCCCACACAGTGTATGAGACAAGTTGGAATTGGAGGGATAGGGAGGAGAAATGGGATTTACAGAAAAAGAAATAATGGCTGAAATCCTCAATCAAGGGACTGGGACTCACTTCTCACCTAAGGAGTTACGTGATGATTATGCGGCAGCGGCGGCACCACCATCAAGCCGGCCTTGGCCCTGACGCGGCGCGGCGTTTCTCCCCGCCAAGGAGGAGGAGGAGGGCGGAACCACCTGGGCTACATAAGGCCCCAACGAGCCCTATCCCCCCCTCGCGGTCGGCAGTGGCTGCATTTTGTAACATCTGTTGAGACTGCTGTTGAGACTCCCGGAGGAGGAGGAACAGGCAGTGGTGGCTCCTTCCAGCGCTTACCACCAACTGCGCTCTTGCCCGATACCATACCGACAGACAGGTGGTCTGGGGGTGTGTTTTATAGCTAGGACTGGACTGAAATTCCGCCAGAACCTACCTTTCCCCCAGTAATTTTACAGTGGCGTCGGGGGGTACGGGGGTTGTTCGTTTGTTGGGCCCCGCCTCAGAAATCATCAAGGCTGACCTAATTGTGGGAACTGAGAGGATTGTTTGTATCAATTAGGGGTTACATATTAGTAGGTTCTCATTGTTTTGTATTGTTGGCTGACTGAAGCTGGGTACAGATATACAGGTTGTATGGGGGCGGGGAAGATATGGCGGCAACAGTCTCAACAAATGTTGCAAAAGAAGAAGGGATCGATGTCTCATATCTATCCCTTCTTCAGTTGTTTCTGTTTCCCATGATGAGTTGGAGAGCAAACTCACCATTCCACTGACTCTCAACCTGCTCCTCTGCAATGCCAGGTCGGTCAAGAATAAGACCCATATAATCCATGATTTGTTAGTGGATGAGATGGCCGACCTGGCTTGTTTTACTGAGACCTGGCTGGGGGAGGCTAGCTCTGTAACATGGGCGCAGGCTCTCCCGGCTGGGTACTCAGTCTGTGAGCAGGTAAGAGAAAGTGGGCGGGGGGGCGGCATAGCCGTGGTCCATAAGAACAACTTGACCTTGATCA